TGTCTGAGCCCCACAAAAGCAAGACAGTGCTGTTCAAGACACTTCTACGCCTGCAACTACTTCTCGAAGTTTATGAGCTCCGCCTGAATCTGTCTGCTTCGGCAAGGAACTGGCGTTCCCAATTGTCTCCGCATGTGCGTCGTGACTGGACAAGATTCTCCAAGGAGTTCAAAGTGAAATACTGTAAGTCCAAGATGTCCGACTCAGAGAATTACAACACCATGAAGCAACGCAAAGCAATGGCCCCTCTGGGTTTCCTGTATCGTCTGAATGCTGCGGCCGATCGCGCAGATATTCGCTATAAGAAGTCGGAGCGACGTCATAAACAACACGTCAAGAGGTTCACATATCGGTTGGCAGATTCACAATTGAAAAGTATCCTGAAAAGTCAGCGATTCAAGAGTATGGACGACCTGGAGTATGTGCTGAAACAGCAGGAGGACGACTGGGACGATGACAGCCAAAGCGTCCCGTCCACCAAGGCGCGAGACTTCAGGGCGGACAACCTCCGTCAGGGGCGACTTAAGACAAAGTATCCAGAACGAGCGTATGCCACTCAGAGTGGTGATGACTCCGACCCTGATGAACGACATGTGATCTTCGAGGATGAAGTTCTCGAGAATTCCCCGGCCCAGGAAAGCGCCGAGTTTCGCGAGTCCCCTCCTGAAAACCAAGGCCCTGGTATGACTATACTGACACATCATGTACTCAAGGTCATGGAGAATTCAGGATGGAACAAACCTGGGCATATGGCACAACAGGGTAAAGCCCGTCAGAGTAACGGCAACCCAGGATCGCCATCGCCGAGATATGACGACCCTGACCGGGACATGCGTTGTGACAACTGCAATGGAATCGGACGTCGGGCTGATAATTGCTGGGCAGACTTAATCTGCGAAAACAGTCATCGCACTGGACATCCTACTCAGCTATGCAAGACCCTACCATGCAAGAAGTGTGGCAAGTTCCACGATGGTCGCTGTGATAATTGGGAGATGCTAGAGTCTATTGCACGACTAGCCCGCCAGGGCATCGTGCAAGACTTACCCACCCCGATGCTGGGCCGACTCCTAGCCGTCAAGGCCGATCCTGGTGATGGGTCGTTAAACCACTAAGCCCGCTGGGTGGGATCCAGTACGCGACGGGCATGGTAAGACCCCAGGATTGTGCGCCTTAGTATATGTCGGCCCTGAGTTGAGAACTAAGAACCGAGATAACCAACAATGCATGACTTCTATGTTTCAAGATCCCATGAGTTCAGGATTAGGCCCTTCTGGATTACTTCATTCAGGAGGTACTTATCCAGAGTTCCCTGTGGAATTTTGGCTTCGGGATGGAGAACGTTATGGGTGGTGGACTACTCACCAGCCAGGAAAGGAAAAGCGTAGGATTGCTACGGTTCATGGCGTCGTGAATGAATTAAGGACTCGGATACTCCTGGACACCGGGGCGTCATTGAGCATGATCAGCTTGGATTTAGCGCGTAAACTCAAGCTCAAGCTCCATCGACAAAATCAAGTTAAGGTGTCTGGATTAGGGGGTATCCCTACCCAGATCACGGCAAGTGCGGAAGGCAAGATAACCCTGGGAACCAGGGTGGTCTACATTATGGAATTGTGGGTGGCCAATATTGGTGAAGGATTGGATGTGCTGCTGGGCATGGACTTCATGTTTCGCGCAGGGGTGAGAGTCTCCGTTTGAGAAGGTTTGCTGCAACTCCCAGATGAAGAGTCTATCCTGATGTACGATGAAAATGTCAAAGTACCCCAGGGCGTGGACGTCCCCAGAAAATTTGTACCTCATGCCCGGAGAGCACGCATCCAGTATGGACATACGAACCCAGAACGAGAAGTGGTCTGGGCTGGACGAGGTGACAGGTGGGTGACCAAGATTGTGTATCAGGCCAGATCCTGGACAGTGGCGATCAAAGTTGTGAATGTGTCGGAGCATAGTGTCTGGATTGATATGGGAACACCACTAGCCAGGATCGTGCAGTATGGGTCGTTCCTGCAGGCAGGGCGTTTCGTCCGCCCTGGTACACGAGGGTACGGTCAATGGCAGACCCTAATCCTGGAGCACGCCCAGTCAGAACAAGATAGACTCAGGGCTGAAAGGAGGGAATAGACATTGCGAGAACGAGAACCCCCGTGTGTGCCGAAAATAGAATACTAATGGCCAACCAAGATCATGCTAAGACCTCGACCAGGATCTGCTGAAGTCAGAATGGCTCCGTTGCAAGATCCCCCGTGCTTCAAGGTGTTAAACCGCGGAGAGTTGGTGGATGCGGGTACGCAGACGGAAGAGGACCCCCGGCGACAACCAGGATCGACGTCGCCACACAAACCAGTGAAAGTCAACTAGACAGCTATGAATGTGATCCTGGTGATGGCGACACCCTGGATGATGACCGAGGTGGATACGCCTCCAGAATGGACTACTGAATTCGAGGAACCCCAGGGCGGCGAGGCGTTCGGAGAGGTATATCCTGAACAGGGCGGCCCAGGTTTCCCCTCAGAACCCGCGCGCTGTACACCGCTTGAGAAGTTGGAGATGGAATACGAACGCTGTATGAGGGTTAGCGCGGAAGAACTGTACCTGGAGCCAGGAGTATACATACATGAAGGGAGCGAGATGCTGGCACAATTGCGGGACCAGTTAGGCATGCTGCCAGAATTAAGTGAATTGCATCCAGAATGTGACATCGATCAGGCCGACGTGGGAGTCCCAGGTGAGACCTCTCCCGATGATGAATCCAGGATGCGTGCCATTCTGAAGCGCCATAGAAAGATTTTCCTGGGTGATTGAAATGCCGCACCTGCTCCCTCCAGAGGAGTGGTATGTGACCTGGATGTAGGAGATGCCAAATCTATCGCGTTGCGCCCAAGGTCGATTGGACCGCACGTGGCAGTCAAGGTATATGAACTCCTCAAGAAATTGCTCAAGAACAATCTGATTCAGCATTCAGAATCGCAATGGGCATCTCCGATCGTGATAAAAAATGGGGTGGATATCAGGATGTGTAATGACTATCGACTTGTGAATAACTTCATCCAGCTGTCTAGCTACTCGCTACCTCTCATCGACGACTTGTTAGTCGGCTTTGAGAAAGCACTCTGGTTCATGAGCCTGGATATTGCCAGCGGTTTCTGAGCAATCAAGATGACTGAAAGAGCTAAGTTGATTTCAGCTTTCGTATGTTCATTTGGATATTTCCAGTGGATTCGAATGCCGTTTGGTCTAAAAACGCACCTCTGATTTACCAGCAAGTGATCAACAATTGCCTGTGGGGATTCGTGCGTCTGCCACCAGAAGAGGAGGCGGAAATAGACCAAGAAGTTTTGGATTACCTGAATCTGGACCCCCAGCATGATGGACCTCCAGGGTGTGGCACTCCAGGGTGAACTGGTTGCGAGGACGGCCATATTTCTCGGTCGATACCGACCCTGGCGGACCAAATGACAGTGTTCAAGAGGAACATCCTTGCTCCGACGCAGATGTCACCTGTCTTAGGGCGCAGTTCATATATCGACGATATCGCACATGGCGCGCCGACGTGGAATGCATTGTGTGCTGATTTGGATGCCTTACTATACAGACTGCGGTATTAGAATATCTCAGTAAGTCTGCCGAAGAGTGAGTTCGGAAAATTGTCCATTCCGTATCTGTCGCATGCGATTAGTGCCGAAGGAATCAGGGCAACACCCAAGATCGCTAAGGGTGTTCAGGATTTACCATTCCCAACTACCATGAAGGGGGTACACTCCTTCCTGGGCATCCTGAATTACTATCATAAATTCATCGAGGATTATCCCGTGATTGCAGCCTCCCTGTATGAACTCTCGGATGACCAAGTGCGTTCAGGGCGAGATATATTCAGGACAAAGCAAGCGTTTTAAATCCTGAAACACAAGATTGTGTCGACCCCAGTATTGAGGCACTCTGACAGAATCAAACCATTCCTTATTATACCTCATGCAAATCAATGGGCTGCCTGTGCGGTCCTGGGTCAACAACATGACGGTTTGATCCAGCCAGTGCGTTTTACGGGACGTGTTCTCCACGATGCGGAGTTGAGATATCACATCGCAGAAAAAGGAGGCCATCGCCGTGTTGAGGGTATTACAGGTGTTCAGAACACTCATTCAGGGTTGCCCTCTCATCGTGTACACTAGACACTCGGTTCTGAAGTGGGTCATGAAATCGAAGACGGCAGATGGGAGATGCGTACCCTGTTTTTTTACTTTCGCAGTGGAATCTGGATGTCAGGAAGATCCAGCAAGACGAAGACGGACTAGCTGCCATCCTGGGTGCCGGCATCACACCTCGGGAGCATCTGGATGAAGTCGCCGAGGAACTCATTCCTCCCAAGGGGGTGCGAAACCGCCACCGATAATTAGCGTGGAGATGTTGGAAGATACGTTCGAGGGTGTCGTTTTAAGCTTTGATGGTGCCGCCAAGACGTCTACCAGGCAAGGTAGCTGTGGGTGTATTTTGTGGGAACTCCCCGGATGGAAAATCATGGATGCACAGGGTTTCATCCTGGATGACGTCACTGTGAATGACGCCGAGTACTGCGGGCTCTTGAATGGTTTAACCATGGCAGAGCTAGGGGCGTCAGGGATCTGATCGCTGTGGGTGACTCACGAATTGTCATCCAGCAAGTACAGGGTCTGATCAACTGTAATCAGTCTAATTTGCAGAGGCGATTGACAAGGTGTGAAGCATTGAAAGCAAAGTTCGATTCGGTGAGACTGGTACACGTCAAGCGGGATTTCAATCAGGCAGCGGATTACCTGACTTCCAAGACACTGTTGCTCGGAAGATCCTGGAGTGTCCAAGAAGACGGAGAACGTCAACACCTGGAACGAGTATTTAAGATTCAAGAGAAGATGATGAAGTCAGCCGAAGCTTGCCCAGTGACCAGCCATTCGGGATTGGTTGCCATCCAGGTTGAAGAAGGCTGTTCGGACATTCCTGGATGTCCCTCTACCCTGAATGTCATGGCAGCTCCTCTGCCACATACAGCCAAAATCTTGGTTGCCGTAACACGGGCTAGTGTCCGAGACCAACATGCGTCATCAGAGCCTCTCGATCCTCTGGATTACCAACGAGAAAGGTGGCGGCGAATTAGGGTGCACCAGGAAGAAGATGAATATCTGTGCGACTTGAGAGATTTCCTGAACGGAGAAGTCGATCAGTTCACTTTACACCGGTTGCGGAAGATCGCCAAGGTCACAGACTTGTTCGCCCTGGATGCCCGTGGCGTGCTGTATCGGTTAGCCTAGTCCACCCAAGGTAAACCCCGAAATGCTCAGGATGAATTACGACTGGTAGTACCAGTCACCCTGAGAGAGGACATGTTACATTATGCCCATGAGGATTTTCAGGGTGGACACCAGGGCATCAAACCGACTCACGAAAAACTGCGTTCTGAGTTTTACTGGTCCGGTATGTATGCTGACGTGGAACGGCACGTAAAAGAGTGTGAGGACTGTGCGAGCAGCAAGGGACATCCGTCTAATCGGGGTCCATCTCCTGGAAACATCGAACCGAGACGACCATTTGAAGTGGTGTCGATGGATTTCGTGACACACATGCCGAAGTCAGAGCGAGGAAATACTTTCCTGCTTTTATTCCAAGATATGTTTTCAGAATTAGTGCTGTGTAAGCCAACGTCTTCCCCAACGGCTCAGGGCGTAGCTGAAGCATATAGGGAACGGGTATTCAGGATGTTTGGCGCTTCAAAAATGATCCGCCACGATCAGGACCCAAGATTCATGAGTGAAGTTTTCACCCGATTTAGGGAACTCCTGGGCAGCCGTCAAAGATCCACCCTGAGCTACCGACTCCAGGCCAATGGACAACAAGAACGTTCGGTCCAGACTGTTATCCGGAGCGTGCGAGCGTATGTTGCCGAGGCAGATCAGTCAGGTTGGGATGATCATGCCGAGCGGTTGATGTTCGCCCTGAACATATCTTTCGACGCGACCCGCCTGGATACACCATTCTGTCTGGTGCATTGTTGGGATGCTCAAGGCACCATATCTGCCATGCTAGGACCTAAGCCGTCCAGCCTTCCAGAACGGACTGCATACAAATGGAGGAGGAAGTTTCAGCGTGACTATAGCTATGCACGAGCATGTGCCAAGGACTTGCAGAAGAAGGCAAAACGCATGAGATCAGAGGCTCAGACTCAGAAATGGCGAGGCTCTCAGAGCATTTGAAATCTGGTTTTGAAAGGGGTGACGCAGTTTGGTTGTATACCCAAAGTGCAACCAGGGTTGAGTCGCAAGTTGGCACACCTGT